TTTCTCATTGATTCTTTATTTTTTATCTACTTCCCAGCCAGAAATGATAATGGAATTGACGTTGATTCAACATCGAAATCATCAAATTGACGTTGAATCGACGTCGATTCCATTTCTGGCTGGGTTGTATTCTGTAAGCATGATAATTAATTCGATAACAAGAGATACGTGTATTATTTCTGAAATGGATTAAAAATCTCTTTGAAATATCATTAAACACAATGACATAAGAAAAACATATTTTCTTAATGTATGCCTATTTTGATCATTTGTAATTATTAACTATTTTACAACAAAATGAGTACGTTAAGAATGGCACCGTGGATATGTGATTAGAATTTTAATTCAAAAAGAATGTACCAACAAATAATACTACCTATTGCCCATCATACATGTTCGCATGATCGAATACATTGTTCAATGTAGTGCGCAAGATTACGTTTTATACAACGTTAAGGTTTTTGAGTATTCAACCAAGAACTCTGCAATGACGGTAGCGACACCGAATCAATCGGCGACCTAATGAAATCAGTAACTACATACACTACGAACCCATGAACTCCCTTCTGCCGCATCGAGAGGGAGCGAGATAGCAAGAGAACGTCTCACTCTAGTCGCTTATATTTCAAGCGACCGAGGCGCAGTAATTGCGTGCGTAGCACGCTCAACTCAAAATTTTCTATTCCGGGTTCGATCCCAGACCCCTGCATATCGCAGTTTTTCCACGCTATTTACGTAAAAAGATTTAAGGTGTTTTGTGTATCCGTGTGTGTGTGTGTGCGCGCGCGCGCGCACACGCACGATCGTATCAGCCGTAAGTCGCATATCGGTAAAACAAATATTTCATGGAAATTTGCTTAACACTAGTATCTCCATAATTTTCAAAATTATGACGAGATCAAGTATTTTAGAAATCATAATTGCATAAATATTATATCAATAATTATTTCTGCTTTTGGTTCTAAAAAAATTTTGTTAAATTTCAGTAGGTACGAAGAATATTCATACAAGGAAAATTTTAATTAAAAGAGTTTTATTTGTAGAAAATAAATATTAATTAACAGTTTAATGTAATGAATACGTTCTGTTTGAATATAAGCAAACAAGCTTCATGTTTTCCTGATTTTAGAAGCTGAATTTCTTAGCCATACAAATACTTTTTATGTAACTAAATAGTATTATTTTTAATGCTTGTTTATTTTTAATATATTGTAACTTATTTAATTATTACACATCTTTTAGTACAATAATTTTGAGAACTATACAATCTATTTCATTCTTTATGAATAAATTGCTAATCTCATTGTCAGTAAGAAATGAACGCCAATTAAACGTCAAATCGATGTCAAATTGGTGTCGAAGTCATTTATTCGACATCAATTCGATGAGTCATTTCTTGCTGGACGTTTATTTTCTAAAAATAAAACTTTTGTTATATTTTCCCTGTACGAATATTTTTTGCACTAATTGTAAATAATTATATTATTAAAGAATTATTACCTTGTCTTGAATGGGCGTGTGCAACATGACGTAAACTATCGACACTTGGTGGTTGAGGTGCAGAATGTGTTTCTTCTGTGCGTGGAGGCTGACAAAATACTGTTTGTTCATGTTGTACTTGTCTTTGCACTTCTGATGTCATTGGCTGAATTTGTGCGTACGTTTCGCTGCCACTGGTATATATTTTATCCTGTTCATCAATTGCAGCATACATTTCATCTATGAAATATCAGATTGTATGAGGTTTATTATGCATTATATTTAATATGACATACTTCTGAAACTTATTTACCAGAATCATCAGAAACAGTAGCATAATGAGGATCAGTGATTGGTCGAGTAGATTGATTTTGTCTATAAGCTGTTTTGCTTTGTGCTATTATATTGGCTAATGGTTCCCTCACGCTTATGCTTGTATATCCTTCTGTTATAGAAAGATAATAATATGCAATTCATTAAAAATCATCATTTATTCATCATACAATAAATAAAAAGTTAAAAGAAAAAATAATGCAAATACTCGAATCTTGTGAGTCTCCACTAAAGTGCTGTTGCGGATTATTATGTTGGGGATGCAATGGATGTGGCAGTAGCATTAAGAGAGGCGGTGTCATGTAGGGTAAATCTTGATTAGCTTGAACACCACCAGAGATAGCATTAGCAGCCTGGATGTCATAATGTATCTCAGAATTAAGAAGCGAATTGTGGGATGAGGATCGTCGAGTTCTCGGTGGCGCGATAGGATTTTCGATTGTTTGATCCGTTGATGTTGATGGTTTTTCATTATTCGTAATTTGATTAACATTATTTCTGTAAATTATGAGAAAAAATGTATTACATATTTTCTAAAACAAATAAGAAAAAAGTATATGGAATGGTATACAAAACGACATAAAACGTAAAAGTAGTAAATATATAATACCTATTTGTTTGACTAGCCTCAGTTTTCTGAACATTTTGAAGTTGGGCGTAAGGATGTTCAACTAAAATAAATTAAAAAATATTATTAAATAATTAACAAAGATAAAAATGTTGGTAATTATTCGGATTAACGGACACCGCATTGACAACCTTGACCTTAACATATTGTTGTCAAGGTCGTGACTTTCAAAAAGTCATAAGTTTTAGGATGGCAATTACTGTTTGTTCAACAGTTATTAATAAATAAAATATAAAAACAATGTCTTATTATTTCTATAAGGATCGTAATACATATAAGTAGACTTAATAAGACTTATTGTTACAGATATAAAGAAATTTTGAACGAACATTGACCGCCATCTAAAACTTTTTAAAAGTCACTCAAGATCAAAGTCATTGGCGCAGTATTTTTAATTTTAATCCGAATATATTACCAAAATATTTAATAATAATTCGCCTACGGTTATGAGAAACGGGAGATGCAAATCTTGCATATTGATGAGACGTATTTTGTGGTAAATTACACCCTTGCAAGATAACTTCTTGTGTTTCCCTTTCAAACATTTGTTCTTGAGCTATAAGATAAAGTCAGTAAAAATAAAATAATATGATAAAAATTAAATAATAGAATAATAAAATCTTTTTATTTTTGCTAATTTTAAGGTAATATTAGCGCGACAATACCATCAAAAAATTAGATTCCATCGCGCACTAATTGACAATATCCCCATTTCCGTCAGTGAGAAAAAACTTTGATAGAGCATAGAGATAGTAATACTACTATCTCTATAATTGCGAGTGTCATCTACACACTCTAACGAAGAAGCAAGAGTAAAAAATTGACTAATCACAGTCGAGTATTTTTCTCACATTCGACTATAATTGTCAATTTCTTTCTCTTACTTTACATTCCGTATATTGTAGACGACGCATAAGACTCTTGTATATAATACACACATACTAACGTAATAAATATATGGCGTTGCATTCAGTTACACTGCTACATATTTTTAATTTCAGTATAAACCTAAAACTTTGACGCTGTTAATTAAGATACAAATAAATATAAATTTATTAAAGAGAAAACTCTTCAGTAAAGACTGAAAGCAAGTTTGGTAATGTCTTAAGCAAACAAAGAAAATAGGCTCGAGAAAATGTGCCACATCTTCATAATCTTAAAATATTCATGCGTTGAATAGTGCGTACATCTTACTTCGATTGAACAGTTTAGTTAAATTGACAGTTTAGTCGAAAAAATTGCATTTTTTAAACTATCAACAATTTTAAAACTTTTTTATAATTTATACATTTTTATTCTATAATATACTCGTTTTTTTATAACAATCCTAAGCATGGTATGATTGAATGCTATAATTAAAAACATTAACTTGAGTTGCATCATATGTTAAATCTGTAAATTTTAATTGCAATTATTTCAAAAACTAGACGATTAATATGTAATTCTAATTGCACAGATACATAAAGAACACTTTAACTTACTTGCATTTAAAATTTTAGCTCATTTATAAGAAAATTATTTTATGCAAGTACTACCCTAATGATTTACATTACTTTTTTTTAATTAATTTCATATTACCTGCATCTTGGACTGTAGCATATAATTCTGAATGATCCCCCATAATTTCAGTAGTGTCATAAATATCTTGAGGCTCTGAATCTACCATGTTCTCATGCTCCCTGCTCTTATCTTTTGGAATATCTGGAAGACTTCTGTTGGCACTTGTAGTCCTATACAAATAAAATATTCTATTTATACATGTATATAGCTTCATCTTTTACTGATTTTGTGATTATATCAGAATTTTTATTCTTAAGATTATTTTATACGGCAAGAAGCAAGACTTACAATTAGTATCAAAAGACTTAGTAGAGAGATATGTCAAAATTCTTTTATTTTTATTTTATTTATTTTATTTAGTATAAATTATTTCTTTATTTCAGAATAATTTATTTTTATTTTTTTAATCTCCCCATTAAAGCCCATGGGAGATACAGCAGCAGTAAAAAAATTAGTCAAAAAATAATTAGATATAGAATTGGAACATAAAGAAAATATTTCTAATATAAAAAGCCCATTACAAAAATCAATTTTGCATCTAATTATTACTACAAAAAATAAAATTAAAGCTTGACTGTAAAGGAAAGCTACAATAATTATTACGCCAATCGTTTATATTTCTATCAGAGTTGTTACTAAAGAAGCATGTAAAACTTTGTCCTAAATCATTCTTCGTTAATGCAAAAAGTAATAAACAGTATAAATTGTTAAAATTTATTCCCATCAGCATGCAATGATTTAACCAGCAAAATTAACAAAAATGGAACAGTACATAAAAAATATAAAAAAAATTCTGATATAAAAAGTACATTACAAAAATCAATTTTATAACAAATTATTATAAAAAAATTATTTTTTTGCATAAGAATGATTTAAGATTTGGTTACATATTTCTTAGTTTTTTTTTCATAATTATTCTCATAAACTTTTATTTTTATTATAATTTATCAGGTTTTTAAATATATTATCACATTATTTTAAACATATTATCATACTTTAGGTACGATTCATCTTAAGGTAATTCGGGGGAAGATGGCACAAAAGGGGGAAGATGCAACTTTTGCAGGGTATTTCTAGTGTTCTGAATTTTTAGTGTGTTCGAAAGTGTTCCCTATTTTATTGTTGAGCAGTATATATAAAATATATAAATATGTCATAGTATCACATATTAGTCAATTATATATACATATTTAGTTTATTCCAGTTTTTCCAGCAGTAAAATCCGGAATTTAATCCATGATTTTTTCCATCCATTAAACTTTTCTTATCAACCCTGCTGGGCATGTATTTGAAATACTTTTATTTGAAAAACAGTGTTTTTAAGACAATTGCATTTTACATTTTAGGGGAATACATAAAAGTATTTTGCATTTTGTATTTCAAATACTAAGATATATAGACAATTAATCTTATTTTTTAATTATACAATACAAAAAACTTTAAATATTTCGAATTTTAGTACAAAATACATAATACATTCACTGAAATATTAAACACAAATACACTTGTATTACAAATAATGTGTTTTAAATAAAAGTATTTCAAATACATGCTCACCTGAAAAAGTATACATGTATAAGCTTATAAAAATAAATACATAACAAATACATGCTCACCTGAAAAAGTATACATGTATAAGCTTATAAAAATAAATACATACAAAAATAAAAATACAGAAAGCTTATAAAAATAAATATATACAAAAGGACTAACAATATGTATTCAGTAATATAATATATATTCAATAATGTTTTTAAAATAGGAATCATCTGAATTTGCACAATAATCACGTTTTTGAAAACTAAACTCACTTTCAAATATTAATAATTATAATAATTAATAATTATAACTAAATCTTTGAAAAAAATTCCAAACAAATAAAAAAATATATCCATGTTGAAATTTTTAATTATAAAATCAGGCAACCAAAGTTTTAGCTTTTATACAATGTTTATTTGTAAAAAAGTTTATAAATGTATAAATATCTTTTATATTATTTTTATGCTAATAAAAATAACGGATTTCTTTTAAAGAAATATATATATTTTTTACTTTATTTTATTCTCTTATCTACTTATTTTATAAAATATTTAGTTTCAGTAATTTTTTATCAGTCTGTACATATATATAACAAAATGAATGCATATCATAGAATATATTTACATATTATACTTGCATGATAATATTATACTTTTTGTCGTTTACACAGATATTAATGCTACACAGTCAATTAAATTAATACTTCATCATCTTGTGTTATTAGAAAATAAGAAAGTAATGTGTATAATATAATACTAAATTAAATAACATGTAAGAGCTTCTAAACAAATTACGACAAGTACATACAGATAGAAAATTTTAGTGACAATTAAATGCTGATATAAGTGATTTATGTTATTTATATATTGATAAAAGAATACAATATTAATTACATTTTAGCAAAATAAAATTGTGCAGCAAATAATCTTCAGTTTTTGTTTCGTCACAATTAATAACATGAATTATTTAAAAAGTTGTAACTAATTCATATAAAAAATATATAAAACTAAATAAAATGAGCAACTTTAATAATTTTGTGTTCACTTTGGATCTAAAATAATTTCTTGAACAAAGATAAACATGTAGTATGATATGTAAATATCTAGACACATCAGTGTTCGGTTAATAGTAACAGCAAATTATTCAGAATAGTCAAGAGTGCTTGAACATATTTTTTATATTTACTAAAAAAAATTTTGTGTAATCAATTCATTTTTAAGGTAAAAACCTTTTTCCATCGTCGATATCCTGCATAACAACCTGGGATACATCCAATGTCAGAATTCTGTTGAAATTGTCTGTTTCAGAATTATTCAGTGTTACTATACCAGCGAGGCCCAGTAATTCATTCCTGTTATAATATGATTATAATTGTACAACAAATATAAAGTTATAAATTAATTTAAAAATTATGTTTCAAAAGAAATGATAATGATTAATTTTTGTATAAAGAAAAGCCTGAATTTATAAATTATTATCAATCTAATAAAAGTATAGTGTGTTAATTTATTATACTAAAAAATATCTTATCAATGAAATAATATTTTGTACTATATTTACATTCACTAAATTACTACTAATATTTACATGTTAATAACTTAAATAACTAAAAATATAAATTTATCATAACAAATCATGATTAATAACAAATCTTTGATATACTCACTTATTCTCATTTCGTCGACAACTGCAGATACAAGCAGCAACAAGACCAAGAAATGAAAGCAGAGCACCAACTGAAACAACCCAGTAGCACCAGGCATCTTCCTCAAGGAAAGGTCGTATCATATTATAAATTTCCTATTGAACACGTTCTCCTGTTCTAAAACGTTTGAAATCAAGAACGATGCTGTCAGTCCATCACATGTGACATAACCTCAATAACATGGAACACACCCAGAAGCACTACTATTCACAGTCTATTGCACTAATTTAATTTTTTACAATAATGTTTGTTATTCGTATGATTAATATCTGTTATTTTCAAATTGCACTTTTTTTTTTAAAGAACCCTTCAAAAATCTATCTCTTTTTATTAATTACAAACATCCAAGCTAAAATAAAAATTTTAATACAAAATATTTCAACTTTTAATTTGCACATACTCATGACAATAGTATTTTAATAATAAATGTGCAAATCAAAAATTGAAAAATTTTGTAAAAATAAAACTATATTTTCTAACTGTTTTTTTTTAAATAGTTTTAGATATTTTTTGTATGTAACACACACAGTATATTTCACTGTAAGAATGTTCTTATAAGATAGCATTATATAGTGTAGTTATGATATAAATTCATGAGTTAATTACGAAAATTATGTCCGCAGATCGTATTAATATTCAATATTAAATTACAATACATTGTAAAATATATGAAGTTTTCGTTACTGCATTACCTCGTTATCATGTCATTTTTTACAAATTTCATAATAGCAGCCAAATCTTTTTACTGTCCTTTCTGTCACATTCGATTTTTATCAAATTAAACAGACAAGAAACGTTGACCATGCCACTCGAAAATAATTCGGTCCAAAATACCAAACACCTATCTTTACATTCACTTTTCCTACGCAGTGCGCTAAACTAAGTTCAGAAACTTAATCCCACATCACATTCGGTCCGAGAATATCAAGAGAAAGTCAGATTATAAAGGCTGTTTTCCAACATCGACGAAAGTACAGTTAGGGAGGGTTCACACCTTGACGGAAAAGCGGAAAGCGGAAGAGCAGTTAACCGATCAAAACTCGTGCTGGTAGTATATAGTACAAAACTAACAGAAAGTCGATCAGGTAGTCGACTTTCTGTTAGTTTTGTACTATTTATGCCTGTTTCCACTAATGCAGATTAACTTTAATCTCGATTTATACATAATACTAGCAATAATTCTGTTAGCAATAATAATTCTACTAGCAATAATTCTGTTCAACACCATTACAATTTTTATATTACGCGTGCGAGGCTGCATCTATGTATGACGTCACTAGCCAGTATTCCAGTCATTTGGGAACGCTTCTCCAGTGCAGTATCCAGCAAAATGGCGGCCACTGGCTACTGCACTGAAACGAAATGAATGGGAACGCACCCTAACTATAGACAGCTAGAGAACCGCATACTGCATACCGCGCTCCATGTAATCGCACCCTTACTTCCTGGTTTTATCCTTGTTGTCCAATCATGTTAAACAAGGATAAGACGATTCACGGGACTACGGGAGCACTCGGGTGATATTCCTGAACGCACTACGCAGCTTTTTGAGGGGTGTTGAGGGTCTTTAGGTGCATTTGGCGCGTTTTATTACCATTGATCTTTCGGTTGGGACAAGTTTAAACAAGTTTAAGTCGCTGCTGTCCTATCCGACTACCTAACTCGTTTTGTACATGTATGTATAAATGCACTTCCTCGAATCTCATACGTATTTTTTATTGTCTGATTAGACATGATTAGATGTGAAACGACGTGAAAGTGAAAGGAAAGGTGATTCTAATCTAGTTCGGTGTAAATAGTTTTAGAAACGAACAATCACCGTTAAAGGCCATTTCGAATTTCGACGAAGAAATAGGAAAGATATCGTGGTTACGGCTAATGATCGACCTGATCTTTAATCACAGGAGACATGTCGAAAGTGCGGAAATTGGCTCTTCGCGGCATTCGCAATTTTGGCGACGATAGCGAGGATGCAATAATACGTTTTTCCTGTCCGTTGACGCTCATCTTGGGCCCAAACGGTACAGGGAAAACGACCATTATCGAGGCATTGAAATATGCAACCACCGGCGAGTTTCCACCGAGCTCTGATAAAGGAAAATCTTTTATACATGACCCTATGCTGGCAACAACTGGCTTGGTACGATAGCAGTAATTATATATTAATTTATTACAATTCTACGTTCTGACGACAAAAGTTGTCAATCTAAACTGAAACCTAAATTAGGATTGTTTTCTCGATAATGATAATGTTTTTGGACCTTTTTCATACATCTTGTCGAGAAGCAAATGAAAATAATTCTCTAACACTTTACTGTATCTACTGATTGAGATCATGGCTCTTGTCTAGATTTGTGCAATTTTTTTGTCAGTATGTTTTTTGTATCTTTATATATCTTATGTTTCTTTGTATATCTGCAACAACTGGATGTTTCTATATACTTCTAAAAATGTATTTGATGCATATTCATTCAAAATGAAAGAATCTGGTAGAAAAACGTAACAGCTTTGTATATATATATATATATATATCAAGTTATAAAATGTTGAAGTTTGAGACTTGAGATGTTTATTGTTTAACATTCATGAACAAGGTTAAAACATCTGGATGTATCTGAACAAGTTGACAAAGCGGCTAGCTTGCTTGCTGAACAAATAAACATATAATTGGTTATTACTTATAGATCCAACCAACATATTTGATCATTTGGTAAGCATGCCTAACCACTTTGCTGTCTTGAACTCACCCAATGATTCTGAACACAGCCTTGTGTTATAGATACATTCTGTTTCGATTACATAGGGTCTGATTCTGTCCATGCTTTCCAGCAAGGATAGAATCAGATACTGTGTAACACAGAATCGTTTCATCCTTGTTTAACATAGACAAACAATAAGGATGTAATGATTCACTGTGTTACACAGTGTCTACTTATGTCGTAGCTGGAAAGCACCTATAATCTCTGTTTTACAAACACATATAGTATATATATATGTAATTTTTATAATGATTATCTAATATATTTATGATTGTATATAATGTTAGATAAAATTATTATAAACAATTTAAATATATTTAAATTTAGATTGAAACCATTATAATTTTTATGACAATTAAAATACATAATAAATCTTTAAAGTTTGAGTCTTTATTATTTTTTTATTTATAATTGTGTCTGTACTTTATTTAAACTGTCTAAAAACTGTTAGGAATTATTAATTATTATAGGTGAGAGGTGTTGTCAAAGCTGAAGTAATCGATAATATGGGTACTAGTTATGTAGTATCCAGGACAATCGAATCGTCAAAAGGAGAAAAAAAAAAGTTTAAAACTCTTGACAGCACTGTAACTATAACGAGTAAAGATAAGAAACAAGTAAATATCTATTTTGTAATATTTACTGTCTTATTTTGTAAATGTAAATCATGTGTCTTATTTAATTTCTTAATTTTATTATTTATATAATATGTATGTTTTATTTTTTTATTGTAGAAGGCATCAATAACCAATAAATGTGCTAATGTTGATGCAGAAATTGGTATAGCGTTGGGTGTTTCAAGATCAATCTTGAATTTTGTTATATTTTGCCATCAAGATGAGCTTAATTGGCCATTTGATCAAGGGAAAATGTTAAAAGAGAGATTTGATGAAATATTTGACAGTGCAAGATTTAACAAAGCCTTGGAAACTATTTCCAAGCTTCAAAAAGAATTGCAAAGTGATATTAAAACTCTAAGTGCAGAGAAACAGACTTTCAAAGTACTCTTGTCGGAAGTACAGGATAAAGAAACTAAACTCAAGGATCAAAAGAAAAGATTGGATACCACAAAGGAGAAAATTAATGATATCGATAAACAGCTTGAACCTGTGAAACAAAAACTTGAAGAAGTACAGAAGTTTCATTTAGAATATAAGAATATCCAGACTGAAGAAGGTAAATTAAAAAAAGATGATTTTAAAATATAATTGAAAAAAAAAAATGTTTTCTTTTTTTTTCCAGAGAAAAAAAAGATGGAATTTGAAATGCATAAGGACCGATTTGAGAAACTGAAAAAAAGCATACAGAATATTTATGAGGGAACAACAGAAGAATTAAAAATGCGTATAGAATCTTATGACACTATACTGAAAGAAAAAAACATCGAAATAACAGAGGTATTAATAAATATTACAATAGTATCTTTGTATATATTACATATTGGTTTGCTATTTGTAGAATGAAGCTGAAATTAAAGATATTTCCAAGAAAGAAACTAGAATCTCGAATATCTTAGCGACACGAAGGGAAACTGTAGGTACATTAAAACAACAAGTGAAAGATAATGAGAGAAGAATGGCTCGTCGCAATCAGTTATTAAATGAAGCATTGCAAGCTTGGAATTTCGATACAGTAGAATCAGACGTATCTGAAATAGGTACTTTTATAGATAATAAATTTCATGTAATTTTTTTATATATCACTTTGTTCTTTTTCCTCCTTGTATTGTTAAATTGCACAAAAATTTTGTTTTCAGAGGTGAAGGCTTTTACAAAAAGATTAGAAGATAAAATGCGAACATTAGAAAAACAAGTAGATGAAAATAGATTAGCCATGCAGAGAGAGGAAAAAGAACTTCAAAAGGAAGTTGATACACTGCGTAGCGGTTATTCGAGGGTAGAATCGGAGAAAATCCTTAAAGAGAAAGAAATAACAGATATAAGAGACGAAATAGACTCAATTCGAAACGAGATAACACAGGTTAGTAGATTCTAATCTCATTAGAATCACCTTAATCTTGAAAAAGAATTTTCAAATTTGTAAAAGAGAAAAATTATTGTATATACGCAAATTATATAGTTCAATCGATAATATAGACAGTTTTAGGAGTCTCTTAAAAATTCTTGACAGAAATATTTAGTCTTAAAAAAGTAATTATGCCAAAATATTTTAATTTAGATCGGTGCAGCAGGAAATAAATTGAAGTCAATCGAACAAGAACGTAAAATAGAAAAGCAAAAAATTGACGAACTTGTCAACGCGGTGAACGTGGATTCTCTTGAAGCTGAAAAAGCGGATAAAGTAAAATCTAAACATAAGATTGAAACGAGTTTAAACGCAATCGACGACGAAATTTTTTCTTTGCATAAATTAAGCTCGTTAATGGCAGAATTTGAAATAAGAAAGTCAGCATTACAAGCAAAGGAAGAAGAATTGGAAAATTTGAAGAAAAAGCACGGAAATAACATCAAAGTATTGTTAAATATCCAAGAATTAGAACAAAAAAAATTAAAAGATACTTTAGAACACGTACACCAGAAATTGGTATGTGATAAATCTTCTGTTTATATACATTGCGTCTTCGTAAAAACTCACTATGATTATGAATTTCAGGAAAAAGAGACAAATTCCTTAACACGAGAAATTCAAGCCCAAGAACGTAAAACTACTGCTTTTGAAACAACATTACGGCATATAGAATCCGATATTAAGAAGAAGACAATCGAGTTACACAGTAAGAATATTCTATATATAATCTTAATAATTTTTTTATACTCTATATATATATATATATATATATATATATAGAGTATAAAAAAATTATTAAGATTATATATAGAATATTCTTACTGTGTAACTCGATTGTCTTCTTCTTAATATCGGATTCTATATGCCGTAATGTTGTTTCAAAAGCAGTAGTTTTACGTTCTTGGGCTTGAATTTCTCGTGTTAAGGAATTTGTCTCTTTTTCCTGAAAAATAAAAAAATTATTATATATATATATATGTATAAAATTTTTGTTTATAAGATGATTTTAAATGTTTCTTTCCTTTTTAGATAATAAAGAAAAGATATCTGCAGTGTGCGATTACAAAGAATTCGATGAGACTTTGTTAACGCAATCAACGATCGTAAAGGATCTTCAGGACAAGAGAGGAATTTATGCTTATCAGGCTACAGCCTACAAGGAATATGTTAAAAAGTTATCCGTAAAGAATCCTTGTTGCCCATTATGTCATAGAAATTTTGAGAAGCAAGATAATGTTGCAGATTTAATAAAAGAAATGGAAGGCGATATAATACGTAACCAACCCGGTCGTTTAAAATTATGCGAACAAGAACTAAAGGTAGAACAAGAAAAATACGACAATATGTTGCAGTTGAAACCTATTGTCGAAAAAGTCATTCAGTATGAAGAAAATGACTTAAAAGTATTGGAGTAAATAAAAAACTTATTAATTGTATTGGATTTTGATTTTAAAGTTACAGGTTTAATACATTTGATATATATATATTTTTTTTATTAATTTCTTTTATTTGTAGGGAAAAGTTAAAAAAGACGCAGAACAGTGTGACACAGTCAAAAATGGCTGTTAAGAATTTAGAAGCGTCAAAAATGGAACCTGAGAAGAAATTGTTGCTGTATAAAAATATAATTGGTGACATTAAATTTTGGGATCGATGTATAGATGAAATACAGCAATTGAAGAAAGCAGTGAATAACTTAGAAATTCAAATGGCCAATTTTGGTAATATTATTTTGATCATTTATTTTAATAGTAATATTATTTCAATGATTATTTTAATTTATAATTATTAATTAGTGTATATACTTTGATATATATAGGGATTAAAACTGAAAGAACTATGGAAGAAGCGCAAGCACAACGAGAATCTTTGAGAAAATCTCTTAGAGAAATTTCTAATCATATTGATGCGTTGCAACTCAAATTGACCAAGCATAACGAGAAACTGCAGAACGCTCGAGCGAAGTATAACGAGTTATACGAGAAGGAATTAAAAATACAGTCTGATATGCAGAAATTGAAACATTTGAAGGACAAGCAGAGCGATTTGTACACACGAGAAATTACTGTAGGAGAAACAGTGGAAAAATTGCGGAAGGATTTAACACATGCTGAGTCTAAGTTGGATTCCAAAAGTCAGGAATTAGAAAAGACCAAGGTTTATTTTTCATAGTATTTTCGGATAAGACATTTAGCAATAGAATGAATACGAGACTATCGTATACACAATTTACGATTATTTGAAACGTAAATGTAAAATGATTCTGAAACATTCCTTTTTTACAGGTAAAGAATTGGCAAAAGCAAGAAACTGAGAGAAAATCGATGTCCGAAAGTGCTAGACGTTTGTCTGATTTACATAAAATATTGGACGAGATCAGTTCTTTTATTAGCAGTAATGTACTTGAGAAACTCGCGAATTATGAACGCGAGATAGAGACTTACAATAATTCACTAACAGAACTTATGAACAAGAAAAACGATATAGAGCAAACTGTAAGCAAGTTGAAGGAGGATATTGCCTCTCAAGAAATTGGTAAACGAGAGTTACTCGATAATATGATGTTACGTAAAATTAAGGAAACGTTAGAAACCCTGAAAGAACAATACCAAAAATTGAGTGAAAAATTAAAAAATATGGATTATAAAGAAATGATGAAGAAATGGGAGCAGTTAGAAAATAACAAGCAAGCATTGCTTCGGCAAGTAAGTGAGAAAGAAGAAAAAAAAGGAGAAGTGATGGAAAGAGATTGAGAGGATGGAGAAGAAAAGGAAGGAGTGAATGAATGAATAAGTGAATGAGTGTGAATATGTGACTATATACGATATCCTGGAATATTTAGGACAATGCTCGTGTGCAGATAGAGCGAACTATAATAAGAGTTTGGACATGAAAAAGTCATTTTTTATTTCATGTTTTAACAAGTCCTAAGAAGAAAAAGAGAACGAAAAGAGAGAAAAAAATAAATGTAGGTTCTTCTTTTTCGTAAATTTTTGTTAAAACTACGACCATACATATAAAACTATAGCTCGTGTCCAGATTCTTATTGCAAAGTCTTTAATGCGGACTAAATTAAGTCGAAAAGTCTACCATTTTGCAATAGTTGAAGAGATTAACTTCTAAAGATCGAGTATTTTGTCGATTTTTAGAAGATTTATGAGCGTACTACCAAATGCATGCACATGGCAAAATACGACCGCTCAGAGCAGAGAATTGTTTTCTATCACTAATATTGTATGTAATTATTACTGTTTATAAACAATTTCCTGCACGCTTAGTGACCACGATGATTGGGTGTGCATTTATTCAAAGCACTTATTCAATAATCTTTAAAATTAATACCTCATTTAATTGTTGCGAAAATTGCAAAATGGTACAGGACTCGGTTTAGTCTACTTATCTGCAGACGAATATTGTCCAAAATATTTAGGAACCTATAACATACTTTAAAAATTATGTATTTAATTATTAATTAATAACTCAGTTTTAATGGTGTTTTTAGAGGAATGTCGCATTGGGAACTCAAGAAGAGTTAGAGAGAATAATCAAACAATACACGCATGAATTACAGAAAGAGGAATATCGATTAGCTCGTCGAAATTACACTAACAAGTGTATTGCATTAACGGTATAGTATTATTTACACGATTAAATGTATTAATTGGTAGTTTCAAGCAATAAATCTGACTTGCATAGTTCTTTTTACTAGGTTCAAGAAGACACTATAGGTAATTTGAAAGCTTACAATAAAATATTGGATACTGCAATGATCGAATATCATGAGGAGCGTATGTTGACAGTCAATAAGATAATGAAAAAGTTGTGGAAACACGTTTATAAAGGTACAGACACAAGCAGCATAGAGATTGTCACAGAACCTACAGAAGGTGTAGGTAGCGGTAGAAGAAGTTACAACTACAAATTGATTCAAACTAAGCACGGTTGTAAAATGGATATGAGAGGACGTTGCAGTGCTGGACAAAGGGTATTCGTATCAATTATAGCACATGTAATTAGTGAAACGCGTTATATGATATTAACATCCAAATTTTTCATAGGTGTTGGCGTCGATAATTATAAGACTCGCTTTGGCAGAAACGTTCTGCAAAAATTGCGGCATTCTCGCATTAGACGAACCAACAACAAATCTGGACGAAGACAATGCCAATAGTTTAGCGGATATGCTAACTAAGTATGCAATGCATTTCTGTCTCCGAGTCTCTTTCACTAACTTCGGTTAAGCTAATTGACCGTTACCAACGTGAGGGTTAAACACAGTTTATTATTAGAGAAGGAAGAAGCGTTTTTAACTTATGCCTGTGCTTTTATAACTTGTATGTCTGTATATATTAGACTAAAAAAAGAGGTAAAGATCTAATAAAGTATATAGTTTATAGCCTCAATTGGCAACTATGTAACGGTTGGTTAGTTCAACCGAGATTGGTGAAAGAGACCCTAAGGCGTAAATAGCGATCGAACAATTTATAATTTAATTGAATGCAATGCGTGCTGTAGGGTGGTTGAGTTACGATCGAAACATCAAAAGAATTTCCAGTTGATTATAATCAGCCATGATGAAAAGTTCCTACAAAAGCTTGCTGATTTGAATAATCACAAGCAATTCCATGAACTTTATCGCAAACACAAGTACGTTATATAATATATATTCCTTATAAAAAGTAAAACTATTTGATATACTTAATGAACTTTTTTTATAGTGGGATGACCACAGTAAAAATCTCTGATTTTAACGAGCATATGGGTTCTCTTTTGCACGTCAAAAACGAAGATGAATCCGATGAAGAGGAACGTCCGAATCAATCGACCAGTGGTTTATCCAGAGATGTATTAAATAAGAAAAGATATAACTTAGATGACACTAATGAAGATAACAGACCGCCAGCTAAGAAAAGATATTGTTTCACTGAATAATTTAAAGTACATGTTTTGAAAACAAACACGTATGTTTCAACTATATATATATATATTTATATATATCTTTTAACATATTTTAATATATTTTATTTTTTTATAGTAATGTTCATGTGATTGCTACAGTATATTTTCATAACGTGTGTGTATTCTTATGAAAAAAGTATACAGATAAAGAAAAAGTTACATGTTGAATCTATCTTAAGGAATATAATAAAAAAAAGTGAAAATTATTTTGTAATTACTCCGAAGGAAGATTTGGTTTAATTAATAAATTATATTGGTTTAATTAACAAATTTAATTTTCAGATTTGAAATGTGTTATATAACTCCTGTGTATTATCTTCAAATATTGATCTTTTAAATTAATATTAATATTTATTTATAGCACAATTGAGGAGCAGATTTGCAAAATGCATTTTGTCCAAAACTTTATTTTTTTTAGTTAAAGATAGCATAATGTACAATGTTGAGAGACTCATATTTTAAGCTATTCTACGATGATCTGAAAGCATTTCTACGTCATCAATTTATGTGCTGGAAAAAATTTTGACATCTAAAGTGCATTATATTCTTTAATTAGAGACGAATAAAATTTGATCAACATTTTTAGCAACTGTTTAACAATTTCGTTAAATTTTTGCAACTTATTGATTGACAAATTGTTAATTTCTGTAAGGCATGCTGTTTTCCTGTGGCTTTCTTTCTCGTTTTCTGAAAATTATAAATTTTGAATAAAACGCATTTTGAAAGTCGACACTTCAATTATGACATAAATCTATATTAAAAAATTTATTTTCAAAAGAGTCGATAATAAGTAAAGAAAATAATAGGTAAATTTGGAATAAAATGTAACATGGTAGAGAAACATAAACTTTTAAAAAAAAAAGGTTCTAATATTTCTTAAGTCTCACAATATGGATCATTAAAAGAGTTATAGATTTTCTTCAATTGACAAATTTATATCGTAAACGTAATAAAAATATTTACAAGATGCCATTGAGAATATTGTCTATTTTTATGCACATAATTTAGCTTTAAACATTTTTCTAATACACATCGCTTTTTATTTTTAAATTGCCGCACAAATAATACTCTTTGCAATTAGAGTGTCTTGAAAGGGATATCATTAGGGGCGATAAAAAGCGTCGAGTTTTCAACTTGGGACCACCAATTGAGGCGGGAGAATCGGTCGAACGTGAAACGAGAATCAATCGGAAAGTCGGCTGCGGGCATTTCGGTATTGTCTCTCTCCGGCGAGTCTCGATGACCGCTATAGTTAACGAGTTATCGCGAATCGAGTGCCCGGGGGAGGGAACCGACATCGTAATAGGCTGCCGCTGCTGCTGCTCGGCTAGTCGTAACGTCATAACAGAATAGCGATGTTAGTAATACCATCGCCGCGACTGGAGGCAACCAGCCGGGCGATTGACTGGCCCGACGCGGCATACCGAGTCTAACTAATTTGCATCGCATTGTAACGAGCCGTACTCGTTACGGCTTTCATCTGCGTCCGCACTCGCATGCATACATCACCGAGGCCGAGGTGGTGACGTCGAGGCCCTTGAATCTTCTTTCATTAGTGTTCTCTCCTTGCAATCGACATTAACGTTTTCAAAATTATTTATTAAACGAAAAATTTTTCATCAAATAACTAATCAGAATAATTGTTTCTTACAGTTTTCAATGCGTTTCGAAGGATTTCAATTTCATTTTTTTTTCATTCAAATTAATTATTTACGATATTTGTATTTCGATTGATACAAAAATAAATTATGCATACAGTGAGTGCAAAAAGTATTCTTACAGAAGAGATATATCAACCTTATTTTTAGAAGGTGAACACTAATTATCGATTTATTAACAAAGAATAATTTGTATATTTCTTAAAAATATTTTATCAAAAAAGATGTGTAATAATTAAAACATATTAAATAATACAAAATGTCTTGTAAGACTAGTATGCTGAAATATTATAATTGTCTGTGTGAATTTACATATCCAATCCTTCAAACTGCGCGTCGATTTATTTTCAGCTTTGAAACGGTCGAATTCTAACGGAACTAAGATAGTAATATCACAAATTAAATTGACAAGTAATTTAATTACAGCGATGCTAATAGGCATCTAGATTTATCTGAAATATTTTGATGCTGACAAGCATTTTAAAATTTATAGATACTTTTATCGCGAAAAATATTACCTCGGCCGGTGATTGAATCTTGCGAATATAACATAAAATATTTCACACAGCATGTAATATCACAACTACATCATTTTTCCATTGCATTACAATGAAATCTAGCGGAAATATCAAAGAAATATTACTAAGATATATCACAGAAATATCACTGCAATATTATGTATATAATATTTCTGTGATATATATATATATATATATAATGTTTATATTTATGTAACATTTTTATTGGGAAAAACTAAAACATTTTAAAGAATTTTTGAAAAATTTGAATTGATATTTTTTTAAGACATTACCACAATATTAGTATGATATTTCGATGTTGATTATTGTGTGATATATCAGTATATTTCTAGTATATTGTGATATTATGAGCTATGTGATTATCTCAATAAGTAAAAATAAAAAATTGTATTATTTGAATGTACAAAAACGTGATATTATATTTTCACTTACAAATTTAGATTCAATGCATCAGAAACTATAAAATATCTAACTCTTTTGATTAGTTACAGTTACACATTGAGAAAAAATATCTGAATTTCATAGAAATTTTCATTAATCCAAAGAAATATTAATTTATTTCAAAATTTCCTTCATCAAGCAAAGAAATATATTGAAGTCAAGATATTTTTTTCTCGTACACGTATATGATTAAAATACGTTAACATGTTGCTACTTTTTTTGATACTATGCATTACGCTTATATTTCTTTTCTGAAATTTAGTTTCAGAAAAGTTATGAAATGTTCGTTTTAATGTGAATTTTTGAAAAAGGATCGTTTGGGGATCGCGCCAAGAATTAAAAGAAGAAAGGAGAAACATGACGTTTTCATTGTATAAAATAAAAATTGACTTCAGATTGATCTAATTTGAGGTGGAATATTCTGCATTTAAATTAGTGCATCGGGAGGGTTGCGTTTCGACGTAGCTATATAGCGATTGCCGAAAAGCGAGAGACGGGGCATCACCGCGCCGTTGCGCTTTGCGCTGAACGCATCCCGACGCGGCGAAACCGAGCGCCGCGCCGCACTGTTCCAGCAATCAGCGCCCTGGGAGAACCGTGGAAACCTCGGAAACCCCCAACTCTATTATCGTTTCTGGCATCGTTATCGTTATTAGCCGCTCCATCGCCTGGCTATCCTACATCGGAGAGAGCGAAACTACTCCGACGCGTTTTCGTTGTGGAGGCCCACAAATCAATATAGGTATATTGTAAATATATACATATATAATATCTTTATATCATTTAATAGATATAATATAAATTTATGTTATATTAATGGAACGCTGGGAGCGATCAAATTGTGGGGACATTGCAGTTTGATAAAAATTCCGAATTTATTGAACGGAGTAAAAAATCCTTTCGCAGGATTAAAGTAGAAGCGAAATTGGGTAATGTTGAACTGGATTTTACACTAAAATTGAAAAAACGTCATAAACTGACATGTTTTCAACTTGTAGAGCTGTCACCTGACCGTAAATGTTTTTTTAATAGAAGTTTTACATGGATCAAATGATAGTTCAACACTCAGCGTATTACGTGAACAAACAATACTAAGTTCACAAAACTGAGATTGAAAGCTTCAAAAAAGAGTTTTATTGAACTGCGAATTACGTATATTTGTTTACTCAACATGATAACAAAATAAGAACTACGACTACCAGTAGTTATTCAATTTTAACAAAATAAAAATTACGACTACCAGTAGTTACTCAATTTTGCGAGAGATGGCATTGCAATATGTTAGATAAGGACAGATGTATGCGTTTGAGTGAGACACAACGATATATAAATGAGAAACGAATGAAAGACGTCACTATTATCGAATTTGGAACTAAAAAAGTATGCCATCGACCTCGATCAAGTCGCTCTATCATCCCCTTTGGGATGCTCCCAAGATCTCGTTAATTGTGAAAATTGCAAAATGAAGGACTTTTTGATGCAGTTTAGTCTAATCTATTATGCTTATAAGCGGTATGTTAGAAAATTTAGGACACTATATAGAGGAAACAAATCGAAATGTTTCGCAGTTCTTTACGCAGTTTCTTTCATCTTATCAAGTCAGGTTCCATTGATCCAGCATCACTTTAACGATTTCCTTCAATACTATTATTTCAGATATCGTCATGATCTATTATAATAAAAATTTTCCACCTATTTTCATCTTATTTTCGCCGTTCTTTTACGAATTTCTGCGATTTACATTATTTCTGCGCGATCAACGCTCGCGATGTGATTAGGCCGGAATCGGACTACGCATTGAAGATTGAAAATTGAGATTTGATCAATGAGGATAAAGGAATTTTGGCTCCTATTATTTTGATTGGCCAAATTTCAATCTTTAATCTGAATTTTCAATGCGTATAGTCTGATTCCGACCTTACACACTCTTGGTACGCAGATTCGATTGCGATATTTCATCAGTGATAATCGCGATTGACATTGTTATTCTGTATCGATACGCCGCGCCGTACGATTCGCGGTCGGACTATCTCGAGCAATTGATGCACAGAAACGTAATGAGAGGACGGGTTCTCTCCCCTGGCCTTCATCTCTGATCCGCTTTGATCCCTTTCTCACTCCAATCCCTCGGCGAAGATGAGAGGGCAGGGGACAAGCGGGGGAATTTCCGTCCGCGCCCCCTCTTCAAAATATCAACTAAACGATAACCATATTTATTATTCATTCGGCCGCCGCCTCGTTCCTCCCTTCTCGTGCCGCGTCCCCAATTTTACGAAGTAGTTTTTCAAAGAATTCCGCGGAGCGGCCTGCATCGCCCATGAGACAGCATGGTTGGGTACGTATAGGGCAAAAAATGCTTCGATCGGCGATAAAAGGGCTCTCGGTTTCGTGGGATTATCATATCCGACACGATATATCCTTAAGAAAAGACCGATATGGATATAATCATTCATATGTAATAAAGAATATTGATTATAAATTGCAATATCAGGACCTATTTGTATAGCA